TCTCCCTGCTTATATACTGCAGCTTGGGCTGCCGGTACTGATGGAGGCATGGCTATCTCTTTGTTAATTCCTTGATTAGGCTATTGTTTTCTGCTTGATTTTTGTTGTTGTTTTCATCTGGTGTTAATCCCTGCTTATCTGGGTGTGGTTTACTGGAGAGAATGTGTTTTGGTCGTTGTTAGCTTTCTGTTGTCTCTTTTGAATGGCATGTAAGTATGATTATATAATATTAAAGATATAAATAAAGCATACTCTAGTGCAGTGGTTCTCAACCTTTTTAATGCCGCGACCCCCAACCGGTTGTAAGTCGAGGACTAAACCGGTCGTAAGTCGAGGACTAAACCGGTCGTAAGTCGAGGACTACCCAACCAGTCATAAGTCAAGGACTACCCAACCGGTCGTAAGTCGAGGACTTTCCCTGCCCGGGAGCGCCGCGCATGCGTGGTTCCGCCCCCTGCGTCGGTCGAGGCGTAGCTGGCAAGCGGCAGAGACGGAGCAGGCCGTCCACCAGCTGGCCCAGCCCAAGGGAGGTAAGGCACCCGCCGGAAAAGGGGAAAAAATGGCGGACAGCCTTGCTTGGCGACCCCCATGAAATGGTCGATCGACCCCAAATGGGGTCCCGACCCATAGGTTGAGAACCGCTGCTCTAGTGCAGCCAGGATCGTCTGTTTTCCACACTGCAGTTTGCTTAAGCCTACAGTTTGCCCAATTCACACAGTATTCTGTACCAATGATAAACAAGCCCAGTCTTGAGTCTTGGTTCTTCCTTCCAAAGTAATCTCTTTGCATCCCTTAAAGTTGCTCTCAATCAAGCCAAGTTTGAGTTGTGAAAGGGGAAATCCCCAGTTTGAACTCATCTCTGTTTCAAACAGAGGAAATTTCTCCTTAATTCTAGGTTGGATTTTTCTTTGATAAATCTTCCATATGTTACTTCTTGTCCTGTCCTAAGTACTTTGGTCAACCTCTTCTTCTCCGTGACAACCCCACAAATATTGGTAGACTGCTCCCAGCCTAGTCCTTCTCGTTGTTAGATTAGACATCCCTCTACCTCTACCTATAAATTATATGAATACAATTTGGATTTCAATTGAATCCACAGTACTACGTGATGGCAGTGCGATAGGGTGGCTTACTGGCTTAGTGGTGCAAAATTGAGTAAGAGCTGCTGCTTGTGAGATGGCCCATTTTCACATTTCAACATCTCTGTTTTTCTGAAGCTTGTTTGTGTGGATCAAATTGCTCTTTTTGCTCAAAGCGAGGGGTAAATGAAGTGTATAACGTAGACGGCTTTAAAAACAGAGCTCTGACTGAAGCTATGGTCCACTTATGGTCCCGTATCTGTGGCCCCATTCCCAAACAAGATGGCTTCAAGATGGTTACAGATTTGAACAGAAGACAATGGATCTCTTCTCTTCTCAATTCCTGGCAGTTGGGGTTTAAAATAGATTGCTGATGAGGCAGACAGCCAGCCAGAGTAATCATTGATAACCTGATCCTCTTATGAATCGGTCCAGGCCCCTTTTAAAACCAACTAGCGTGGTATCTAATAGCAGCAAATTTCATGACCTGCTTGGGTCAGTGCAGTTTGTGTCCTTTTAAAATTGCTTCCAATCCCTCTGAGCCTTGTGGACAACTTAAATGGAAGGGCTTTATATCCTGTAACTTAAAACCTTCTCATAGAAATCAGCCAGCCTTCAGCTACCCCAGCTGGAATCCAGAGTTTCATAATTCATTAAAAACATTTTTCCATAACCTGGGTAGGAGAGAACAACAGGCTGTGTTTAGATTAGATGACGTAACTCAGAGGATTGGATTAGGAAGGACCGCACGAAGTGAGAAGGTAAAGACAAGAATTGTCCTGTCTTGCCCCAGTAGGTTTGTCTGCTTTTCCAAAGATAAATCTCTCAGCGCACAACTGTACACGCACAAAAACTTTGGCAACAAGAGAGCTGAAGTTGTCGAGGTTGTGAGTGATACCTATCAGCACCCTTCTGCATTCTTCCTGGCTCCCCTCACCTTGCTCACCTTGACTCCAAGCTGCCTTGAAAATGTCCCATTGCCTTCATCATCCAGGTATTTTGACCTGCATGTAGCAAACAAGACAATAAAATCACAAACTGGATTAATATCAGAAGTATTCCCCCTGTAGCTCAAAATAGTTGCATGGAAGAAGTATATTCTTATTACAGGATTTAGAAGGCCATCCCAACTCAAACAATGTGACTCTGGGCCGCGTACAGCATTAAAAAACACCCAACCCCCCCATGAAAAATATACAATATTTAAATATTGAATGACAGTCGTAAGTTGAGGACTACTGTAGATGTTTTTCAGCTTTTTACTGTAGGACCGAGAGAAAGTGGTTCTCTCAAATTTAATCCAGAAAACTTCTATATCTAAGGGAGAACAAAACCATGGGTCTCTCTACTATTAAACCAGCATCTCCAGAACCAGCTCATGATTTTTGGACTGAGAGGGAAGAAGTGGTCCAAAGTCACCCAGCTGGTTTTTATGCCTTAGAGCAGGGGTCTTCAAACGTGGCCCTTTTGTGACTTGTGGACTTCAACTCCCAGAATTCCTCAGCCAGGGCCCAGGTTGGGTAACTTTGTTCTAGAGATCTTCATTAAACATCTCTGCTTAGGACTAAGGGGCTGAACTTCTGGTTCTGAGTTACTGTCCATGGCAAGTGGTCTTTCATTTTCATTTTCATTTTATTAAATTTATACCCCGCCCTTCTGAACTTGCTGACTGTCAAGAGTGGGGTCTCTGACTCTAGTCGTCCCGGAATCTGTAGTGATAGGAGTGTATTTCCATACACTCTTTTGTCTCTACTCCCTTCTCATCTGAAGACATATCCCTTAGCAAGGTTAGAGCACCAAGGTGACAAGGAGTACTTGCTAAAGGAGATGATGGAAAGGGTCTGATGGAGTACTTGCAGGAGATGATGGAAAGGGTCTGAATGGTGTGTTTTCAATGGGGAGGGGTTTCCTCTCCTATATAGGATACCGTGGCCTTAAGAACAAAAACTAATGAAAAGTTGGATATCCCACAAAGCCTTCCGCTGTTGCCTAAATAGAATAGTTGAGCACCAGAATAGTTGGCTTTTTATTGTGCTAATATTATGCGCTATTTTGTTGTGTTCTGTATTTTTCTACGCTTCCCAAAATCTCTTGGGATTGAAGCAGTCGATACTTTTCATAAATAAATTCTGCATTTTACGTCGACGGTGAAATGAATTATTTATTTCATAAATAGTAAAAAATTTATAAAATCTAAAGTAAAGACTGGAGCTCAGCAGGCTTCTGCTTCCCGCTGACGACAGTGCCCATTTCTCTGCAAAGATTGTTGTCTCTACCAGTGAAACATGATTCTCCGTGCAGGCAGTTCTTTAAATAGGGCAATTGAGGGAATACTGAAGGTTTTTATTCTTTTTTTTTTTTTTTAAGTTTACTTTTTGGCTTCTATAAAGGGAGAGCTTCACTTCCGCAGTCCACTGTTCCACCTCAACAGTGTGGACATTTGCTTAAAAATAAACCCTACTGGAGTGTTAAGCATTACAAAATCAGAAGCACTGAATGTGCATACAAATGCAAGGTTTAACATCGGCTATTAATTATACTAGCTCAAGTAGGGTAACACAATCTGCAATCATGGAGTGCTCTAATCACAGAGGATCAGTCTGTCGTCTTGAAATGCTCTAACCACAGACTCAATGTGCAGTTCTGGAGTACTCTAACGGCGATGCCATGGTTCATTTGAGCTTTCTCTTGGGAAGAGAATAATGGACAGCATTTTGGAAGGCTTCCCCCCCCCCCATCCAGTCTCTCAACCTTTTTTTGGCATTGCAAACCTGGAGTTTCCAATGTCCCAAATAGCTAGCCTTAGAAGATGGCAGCCACCACAGATTTTGCTTTCTAAGGTTGAAGCTCTCTCTTCTATATTTTTGTTATTTATTTTTAAAAATATAAAATTTCCCAAAAAAAACCCAAACAAAACACAAACAACCCACCACCATTAAGAAAAATAAAAATGAGCCAGCAAGGGAGATGGTGAATGGAAAACCAGATGCTTTAATCAACAAGGAAGTTTGGTCTGAAGCTTAAAATGAAAGCCTTGATTTTTTTTTGTTTTATTTTGTTTGTTTTTTTAAATGTAATGGCTACTTGGCACAAACATATGAATGTAGCAATGTGGACACTTTTTTGTTTGTGGGTGAGAAGGGAAATGGAGATGGGATTAGGGAAATTTGACAGAAAGTTGTGATTTGGCATCCCAGGAGAAATGGAGAAAATGGAGAGCAAATACGGCAGCCAATAATCTAATTTTGATTTTTAGGGTTTTCAGTCCAGCAAGAGGAATAATTGGGAAAGTCCTTGGAGCAAGATTTTTGTAAAGCACAACTTGAATCTTATTCTTTTATTCTATTCATCCACAATGAGATCAAGAACTCATCTTATCCATTATTGCATTATGCATTTCTTCCTGTCGACTGACTACTAGAACTAGACATACCCAATTCCTGCAACCGTTCTTCATATGTTTCAGCCTCTAGCTCCCTAATCATCCTGGTTGCTCTTCTCTGCACTCTTTCCAGAGTCTCAACATCTTTTTTATATTATAGTGATCAAAACTGGATGCAGTATTCCAAATGTGGTCTTAATAAGGTTCTGTAAAGCGGTGCTAACACTTCACATGATCTTGATTCTATCCCTCTATTAATGCAGCCTGGTGCCTATCTTAATGCCTATCTTAAGCAACTCTGGCCAGCTTACAGCAGTTATGATTATACTACAGTACTCTTTATCATCCCACCTTTGTTCTAACAAAGTCTGTATGACATATAACCTCTTTTTAAACTTAGCTATGTTTACTAGGCTGAGAAATTATGACTAAGCACAAGGTCACCCTAGATTTCATTCTGAGTCTTCCCAGTGTTAAATCCCACTGTGTTTGGTTTTCTCAACCACAATTATTTGAAAATAACAATGCTCCTTGTTCCTCTTTGTACAGGTCACACACCAGGAGTCATGTCAGTCAGTGTCCATGAGAACCGTAAATCCAGGACCAGCACCGGCTCAATGAATATCTTGCTGTTCCACAAAGCCTCTCATTCAGACTGTGTCTTGTCTCACCTCAATACTATGAGAAAACACTGCATGTTCACTGATGTTACCCTCTCTGCGGGGGATAAATCCTTTGTGTGTCACCGAGCAGTGTTAGCTGCTTCCAGTAGATATTTTGAAGCCATGTTCAGCAACGGCCTTCGCGAGAGCTATGGGGACAAAGTGAACTTCCACGATAGCCTCCATCCAGAGGTGTTGGAGCTGCTGCTGGACTATGCTTACTCATCCAAGATCATCATCAACGAGGAGAATGCAGAGTCCCTCCTGGAAGCTGGAGACATGTTGCAGTTTCATGATGTCCGAGATGCAGCTGCTGAGTTCCTCGAGAAGAACCTTTGTCCTTCCAACTGCTTGGGGATGATGGTCCTGTCAGATGCTCACCAGTGCAAGAGGCTTTATGAGTTCTCTTGGAGGATGTGCCTGGTCAACTTTGAGACAATCCACAGGAGCGATGAATTTAACAATCTCTCCAAGGATACCCTGTTGGACTTGATCTCCAGCGATGAGCTGGACATTGAGGATGAAGAGAAGGTCTTCAAGGCCGTTATCCATTGGGTGAGATATGACCTGGACAATAGGAAGCCTCTTCTCCCAGAGCTTCTAAAGAACGTCCGGTTGGCATTGCTGCCTTCGGAATGCCTCAAAGAAGCCATGAGTTACGAGGAGCTGATCACCGCAGAGGAGGAGAACAAGGCAATCATGGGTGAGGCTCTTCGTTGCAAGAAGAAAATCCTGCAGAACGATGGGGTGGTCACCAGTCCTTGCGCCAAGCCCCGCAAAGCCGGGCACACTTTGCTCATCTTAGGAGGGCAGACATTCATGTGCGACAAAGTATACCAAGTCGACCACAAAGCAAAAGAGATCATCCCTAAATCAGACCTGCCAAGCCCACGGAAAGAGTTCAGCGCGTGCACCATTGGCTGTAAAGTTTACATCACTGGAGGGAGAGGCTCAGAAAACGGAGTGTCCAAGGACGTCTGGGTCTATGACACAGTTAATGAAGAGTGGTCCAAAGCTGCCCCAATGCTGATTGCTCGGTTTGGACACGGTTCCGCCGAGCTCGAGAACTGCCTCTATGTAGTGGGTGGTCACACTGCAGTGGCGGGGGTCTTTCCTGCTTCTCCTTCGGTTTCGCTGAAGCAGGGGGAGAAGTATGATCCAGTTGCCAACAAGTGGACCATGGTCGCTCCCCTCAGGGATGGCGTCAGCAACGCCGCCGTTGTGAGCGCGCGGCTCAAGCTCTACGTTTTTGGTGGAACCAGCATTCACCGGGATATGGTATCCAAAGTCCAGTGCTATGATCCGACCGAGAACCGGTGGACTATCAAAGCCGAGTGTCCTCAACCCTGGCGTTACACAGCAGCTGCTGTCTTGGGTAGTCAGATTTTCATCATGGGGGGAGACACAGAATACACCGCAGCTTCCGCTTACCGTTTTAACTGTGAAACGGATCAGTGGACCCGGATTGGGGATATGACAGCTAAGCGGATGTCCTGTCACGCGCTGGCTTCAGGAAACAAGCTGTATGTGGTAGGGGGTTACTTTGGGACCCAGAGATGTAAAACGTTGGACTGTTATGACCCCACTTCGGACACCTGGAACTGTATCACCACAGTGCCTTACTCCCTCATCCCCACAGCTTTTGTTAGCACATGGAAACACTTACCGGCCTGACAGTCAAGAGCACTGGTTACAGTGGAGCACAAAAGGTAAGATTTTTTTTTCAAGACTCACCTGTCCTTTTTTTTTTTTTTGCAGGAAAGCCCTTTTAAGGTGGAAACATCTGCAGTTCACACGTATAGAAGATCTGAGAAAAGAATGTTGGGGGAAAAAAGTGAATTTGGATACTTATGTTTTGAAGTTTAGGGTTTTGGTGTTTTTTTTTTAAAACAGACTTTAGATTTTCAGAGTGAAAGACAGTAATATGTCAAGAGAAAGACTTAGAGCAACAAATAAAAAAACACGGCGCTTAAAATAATCTGGGTAACAATAAAAATGCACTATGGAAAAAAGCTTGTTTCTTTAGCTTAAAGAAACGCCTTAAAGAGCACCTTAAAAATTGATTGTACGGTAGTGGAGCCCAGCTTCTACCTTTATGGCTAGAGATAGAACAGTTGTTCCAGTAATTGTGTGGCTAGATTTACAAATTACACTCATCTACCCTGTAGTAGATTTGATTTTGGCTTTGCTTACTGTATGTGTCCAGATAGGTTTCTTTCGTCTGTCTACAAAGGACGGAACTCTGTCTGAGCACAAACGGAAACGAAAGCACGCTACTTCGCAGTGACGCTGCCCTCTGTTCTCACTGGACTTATTCAGATATTCTTGGCTGCTAATAACTGTTTTTTTCCAAATTCTAGCTCAGCTTGGCCGTGACAGTCTTCCCCAGCTCCCAAATTCTGCTCCAGCAGCCCAGGCGCCTCTGAGCTGTCGTTCAACCCTTAATTACTTTTGCAGTGCGTGGAAAAAGTCCATTTCCAAGCTCCGTTTACAGAGCCCTTTTAAGTTTTGCATTCGCGGTGGAAAATAAAATTGATATGTCTGTCACGCAGGTGCATCTGAATGCTGAAAGCCAGATACACCCGTAGCCAGTGCTTTTGAGTATATTTTGAGACAGCGCTGGAGGATTTTTAAAACTGAAATGAAGGCCGAGCCATTATTTATTTATTTTTCCCCCAACAGCCAGTATTTTCCCCTGGGAAATCCCGTTAGACAATGCAGATATTGTTCTAGGATGCTCCAGCCTCTTGCAACTTTTTGGCTGGCGAGGTTTCTTTGTTCTTAACATTTTGTGATTCCCAGAGATCTCTTTCGTCTTGGCTCAGATTAAGAAGGTCTTCTGAATAGCCAATGTCTTCATTTCGAAGCTGCTTTTGTTTGGGGGTCCTCTACCCCGTTACAGATTTAAGAGATTTAAAAGATTCTCCCCCCCCCCAAGACATTGTGCTGAAGTTCTGAAAAAAGAATCGGAAGAGTCAGAAAAATTAGAAAAGGGAAGAGTTGGCAGTTCTTAATGTCAACCTGCTTATTGGCTAGGTTTTTTAAAACTATTTCTTGACTTGCATTTCATGTAGTTAACCATGATCTGTTGCCTGAGACATAGTTGTCTGTCCCCAGATCTGCAGAGGGTGTGCAAATAGGCATTTAATGCAAACCACTTTTTTTTTAAATTTAGTTTTATTCATTTATAACATAAAATGTGAAAATACCAATGCAAATAGTAGGGGACAACAGTAGAAAAAGGGAAAACAAAAAAGGTGTGAAGAAAGAGAGGGGAAGAAACCAAAGGCATTGACTTCTGACTCTCTCTGTTGCAGTAAAATCAGACATTAAAATCAAATCTCAACTTTTTACCTTTTTATAGTAGCAGGCACTAGCCATTTCTGTATCGGCAAATCAGTCTAATCGGTAAAACCCAAAATCATGATATCATTTTTTTCCACCTGATGCACCAAGTCCAGAAGCAGAACAACAGAATGGGCTACAGGTTGTAAGAGAAGATATCCAAACCTGCAGTGGCTGCAGCTGAATCTATGCCACAATTTTGTTTAATTCTGTGTACCTGCTTCTGCCCCACACTTTTTGCCCATGACTTCCATTGCCTAATATTATGGGGTGGAGGTAGATTGTCGGTTGCCCGACAGATAGATAAACAACAAGCCACTTTCCTATTCCTCAACAGAGACAAGAGGTCGTGTGTCCTTCAGAGTCCTGGAGTTTGATGCTGAAGTTTGACCTCAAGTTGTTGGGCACCCCCTTCTTTCATTCAGACTTTCTTTGCCTTCTCTCTAGACCAGTGGTGGCAAACCTCTCTGTGGGCATGCGCACCGTCGCCCCAGTCCTAGGCCTTCAGCTGGGTTTTATAAAACCTTTTCGCTTTAGGCCTCCGCCGCCGTGTACAAAAAAAAAGGTTCAATCAATCAGTCAATTTCAACTTCTTGTGGGAAAAAAAAAGATCTTGCAAAGTTGGAATTGATTGATTGAACTTTTTAGTCCCACCCAGTCTGCCGTTACCACCGCAGCCACACCCATCCAATGGGCCACACCCACCCAGCACCCGATGATGCATAAGTGGGTTTTGGGTTGCAGTTTGGGCACTCGGTCTCTAAAAGGTTCGCCATCACTGCTCTAGACCGCCGTCCTACCTCATACGAAGCATGAGTTGCTTAACTGTATTGTTGTATTGTGAGCAAGCCACATTTAGCAACGCACTAAGCCAAAATTAATCAAACCATGTTAGCGCTTCGTGAATCACGTGAGCCCAGTCCAGGTCTTTCGTTCCGTTTTGCCCTGCCTCCCCATTTAATCCGTGTAGTAGACTTTCTCTAGGGATGGCAGAAAGCCTGGAGGTCAGGAAGTCTTCAGCCAGCAGAATCCAGAACCATGTCTTGCTAGCTTTCCCCCCTTTTTTCATATTAAGAGTGGCTGAAATGGTCCTGTGACTTTAGTTGCCAATAGTCCAGGTTGCCACCTGTGAACAAATTGTGCTTGATGGAAATATTGACACCTATAATTTAATACGGGCGGGGATCAGGGTGGCTACAGCGGATGAGCCGTTTCTGCAAAGTTGAAATTTGTCTCCAAAGCCTCATTATCAGGGCAAGCTAATTGGGAGTGGCTGTTGTTTAGCAACATGTTTTGGCAAGCTGAGCCTGGGCTGAAACCTTAATTTCTGAACCGAGTATATAACAGCCATATATAACAAAGGCTGCTAAGATCAAGTAAAATGATCCACCCATAGTGTGGGTAGCAGAGTGGCTCACCTACCCCAAGGAGTATTGATATTATTATTCTATTTTTCTCCCACTTTGGACATGTTCCCACTCTATCTTCACATGGTTTTGGAGGAATCTTCTATCTCATGCTACCTTGACTAATTCAAAGCCTGAATTAACAAGTTGAGTTGCATACTGCAACCAGGCTCCTCCCATTTTCTCTAAATAGAGGACAGGGACATCCTAAAGAAACTCCATAAGTAGGAGGGAGAATCTCATGTCTATGTTCTTTCTCCTGGATAGTCATTTGATATTAAAGAAGGAAACCTCAGTAGCTTTGTAAACTCTTTATGTGGTGACAGACCAGAAATAGGAAGTTATTATTTGAGGTGAATGTCTTTGAGGAAGATGGTTGATTTTACATGCCTTTCCTTAGAACGTTCATCCATGCATGGAATATCTACCTTACTTAGGACATCCATCCATTCATGGGTCACCTTCATAGGCAAAGACCTTTCCTGCTTTTATCCACTGGTTATAATTAAATGCTCGCCTCTACAAATACCTGGCTGTTAATTAACTGTTTCTCTCTTCCCAGATGAAGCATTTGCTACATCGATATTACAATGGAAACTACACCAGTAGCTGATTGCTCACACACAATCCGGTCTATTGGTATGAGATCTTTGGATCTCAATTGGTTCCTAAAGCTTGGATGGATGGAAAGGCTGAGCACTCCTGTTGACTTTCTCCAAGGAAAAAAGAACAAAGCAGCAAAAAAAAAAAGTCCTTCTATAAGGACAGTCTTGTCTGTTCCTTGCAGGTATCACTTTGGTCCCAGGTAGCATGGAGAAGTAGCCTTAAAAAGCCTTGATGATTTCCATTCAAGGACTTCACAAATTCCCTTCTCCAGGGGAGATGAAGCACAACCATATCAGCAAGGGCTTGAATTGCACCAGATGTTGTTGATGATGATTTGTACTTTGATGTTACCAGGAGCTCTAGTAAATGTTAATAAAACTATTTGTCTTGCATGAGTGGGACTTTTCTTTTTGGAGTGCACTGGATGAAAGTGTAATATTGCTTCTTTATGGAAAAACTTATCCACCAAAAAGCAGCTGCTATTTCGGAAGTCCGTAAGATTCAGAATTGCTTTCCTCATTTGGAGATGGACGTTTAATTGTAAAAAAAGGGACATCTGCTGAACTCAGGAAGCATAATTTTCAAAAGGCCACATTCCCACCGGTGATCCCACTGTCTTTCCAAGCCTAGGTTGACACAACTAACTCAGCAAAATTAAACTCTTAAACATTACAGTTTAAGAGGGCTGTGCAAATCCAATCAAATGTGGTTAATTCAGTAAACCATCAATAGGCTTATCACAGTGCGTGTTAATTCATTATGTGATGCAGTGTCCTGTCTTGATTCAATATGTAATCCAGTATCCTGATGCAATTCATTATGTGATCCAGTGTCCTGTCTTGATTCAATGTGTAATCCAGTATCCTGATGCAATTCATTATGTGATGTAATGTCCTATTTTATCTCTCGTATGAGACCCAATGCATAATGTAGTTGAAGGTCTGCACTGGGTTCAGGGAAGTCCGGGTTCAAATCCACACGGGACCATGGAATTCCCTTGGAAAGGTTTGAGCCGGTTCTTCTCTCTAAGCCCAACATTCTGGGTAGTGTAGTGATGAAGGTATTGGACTAGGAATGAATGAGGACTCATGGATGTCCAGTAGGTGACTTTGAGCTGGTCACTTTTTTAGTCCAAAGAGAAGACTCCTGCGAGTCCCCTGGACTGCAAGGCAATCAAACCGGTCAGTCCTAGAGGAGATCAACTCTGACTGCTCTTTAGAAGGCCAGATCCTGAAGTTGAAACTCAAGTCCTTTGGCCACCTAATGAGAAGGAAGGACTCACTGGAGAAGAGCCTGATGCTGGGAAAGATGGAGGGCAAGAGAAGAAGGGGACGACAGAGAATGAGGTGGCTGGATGGAGTCACTGAAGCAGCAGGCGTGAGCTTAAATAGACTCCAGAAGATGGTAGAGGACAGGAAGACCTGGAGGAATGTTGTCCATGGGGTCGCGATGGGTTGGACACGACTTCGCAACTAACAACAAAAAATTTCACAGGGCTGTGGTGGGGAAATGGGAGGAAGGAATAATATCCATCGCAAGCAATAGCAACAGCTATTTTTCCTCTTCTCCTCTCATGTTTATTTGGCGAGAAAATCAATTCAGAAGCTTTTGGCAGAGATACAATAGCCCCCATTAGTTGCTAAGAGATTCAACAAGAGATGGGTGGCATAAAAGAGCCTCTGTGATAGCTAAATAATAAGGGGGAGATTCAAGGAGGTTTTGATTAATCCTTAAAAAAAAAAAATTCTGATCTGAAGTGGATTTTTCAAGCTGGAAACAAAGTGCCTTCACTAGGCCGCCTCTTCAAGGTCAGATGTTTCCTCTTTCTCATGACCCAGGACTGTCTTTTCAGACAGTGCTTCCTATTCTTCCACAGGATGTCAAAGTTCCATAAAAAGTTTTGGTTTTCCTCCCTGTAAAAAAGGCAACGTGGTTTTCTACCTCAGTCTCAGAAAGCTTTTAAGTTCTTAAGAGGTTCTAGAGATGGGGGAGGGAGGGGGAGGACTTTTTGATTTTTTCAGATAGTTGCAAAAAAAACCAACCACAATTTATCCCTTTTGCTTTTCACATCTTATTGGTGATTTCGTCATTACATCTGCCTGATTGTCCCACTCCTTGAGTGAAGAAAGGACTGTACATTGCTACAGCCCTGTTAGTTTCACCAGATGTTTCCCCTTCTGCAAAAATCCATTGGAGGCCCTTTCTTATTGAATTGAAAAACTGAATTGAAAAATACAAATATATTTTTTTCAATCCAGCCTCTGCCCCTCCATCCCAGTTGGGATCCAGAGATCGTCAAGTGACATCTTTGGAGTACTGAACATACTTAATACTCCTTCCTCTTCCTATTTACCACACAAGAACTACCCTGTGAAAGTGTGTGACTGATCCAAAGTCACCCAGCCAGCTTCCATGCTTAGGGCAGGACTAGAACTCATAATGTCCTGGTAAAGTTTGGTGCCTTAGACCAGGGGTCCTCAACCTTGGCAACTTTAAGACTTGTGGACTTCAACTCCCAGGATTTGGCTTTAGATGACTTTTGCTAACGTTACAGAAATGAATTGTTTACTGCTGCATCCTTCCAGAATTCCCAGCTTTATGAGAAATTGAATTAGAATAAAAAAGTAAAGTAAACCCATGGTTCTAGGATTTCTTTGAAGCCTCCTGTCCAAGTTAGAGTTTCATTAATTGTAGAAAAGGGGTGGGGAAGTAATGAAAGAACAGGCAGTGCAGAGAATAAATGATAAGGGTGGAAACACATTGAGTCACACGATTCTGATTTAAAACTGCAAACTTCCCAAGGTCTGGCTGGACAGGCTGTAAAAGAATTATGTGGAAAAGTAGGGAACAGAATGGTATTTTTCATGCTCATTTTCTCCCTTTCAGTAATCTCTGTTTAAAGAAGAAAAGCCAGGGACTGACAGCCTTGGGAAAGCAGTGGGAGACAACTACTGTCTTGTGACTATTTCACACGCTGTTAAAAACAGCTTTCCTTGCTAGAAAGCTGGCAATGTGTTCATAAATCACTTGTTCATGGTTTGTGTTTCCGACATGTCCTGGGCTTACCAGTCCCTTTGAGAGTGATGCCCCTTTATGTCTCTCATATACAAACTGGTCTGTTTTAGACCCAAGCATGGTACACAGTTCTCTGCAGAGCCGAATAACCAATTAAAATAATTCAACATAGGAGAATATTTGAGGCTCAGGGTTGAAATTGAGGGTTCCTTGGTGCTCTCTGAATTTGGTGGTTTTCTTGCAGATGTTACATTGCTCAAATTGGGTAACGTCAGCAGTGCTGATGATGTTAGCTAGTTTAGGTTATGAAACATCTGCAAGAAAACAGCTGAAGCAAGCATCAAGGACCTCTAAAATAATCCCATCCAGGTTCCTGAACTTTCTGGAGCATTCCTTTAATGCCCTTGAGGAATTTTCTTTATTTTTCGTGGATAATACTGCTGGCTCTGTGCAATATGCAGATAGGCAGGAAACAGGATTGGCCCCAAGTGTTGTCTTCCGCACTCTTGGCTGAAAGAGGCAATAGCCAGATCTTACCCAGGCTTACCCTGTCTAATTGTAGGTTAGCGTCAAATGTTCCCATCCTGGGAAAAATTGATAGTGATAGAAGAGAATATTTGAAGCTCAGGGCTGCACTGAAAGATCCTTGGTGTTCTCTGAGCTTGGCTGTTTTCGTGCAGATGTTTCATTAGCAATCTAGGTAACGTCATCAGTGCTAGTAGGGAGTGGGTTCGTTACCAAACTTTTTGGCAATGAAGTTTGGTAATGAAATGGCTGCGAGAAAACAACCAAGCTCAGAGAATACCAAGGACGCCCCAGGAAAATGATAAGAGAACGTGGTGGCCTCCAAGCTCCAGATGCTCTCAAATGGTATGAGCTGTCTGGATCCATTTCAACTGGGCTTTGGCTAGATAGAATATGCTACTGAAACTGCTTTGGTAACCTTAGAGGATGATCTGTGCCAGGAATTGGATGCTCTGCTCTTATATACCTCAGCAGCTTTTGACAGTATTGATATATATATAGAATACTGTGTCATGGAGGGAGAAGCTTCAGCAACACATTTATGGAAGCAGAACAGAGCTAAAAGCTGTTAACCTAGTTTGGGTTTTACTTTCCTGAGGAATGTAGAATAAAGAATACAGACCCCATTATTCAATCCAAAAAGGAGCTGATCTCCAGAATCTGCTCATTCTCTGGATCTGCAAGGTCAACTGTCTTAAGGGGGGGAAATACTCAGAATACATATTGACCTCACAAAGAGATCAACCAGCTGAGTCCCCATATTAAAAAAAAAGCCAAACACATCCAATACAGTTTTCTTGACCACAGTAATAAAGTTATTGCCTTTGTTTCTTCCGAAATGTTTTTTTTCCCAACTTGTCAATCTAAAGGGCTCAGATGTCTTAATTACCCTCCCATCCAAGTACTAACCAAGTAAAGATCTGTTTTAACTTCTAAATCAGCCAAGGCTGGTCACAGTAGCTGCCTGTACCAAGTTGGGATCGTTAGTACATTTTGTTTCTTTGCAAAAGCAGCTTTGGATTTTGGCCAGTGAATGAATGTAAATCTTGAGTTTGGCCACGAAGCAAATATTGCTTCTCAATGGTGGTTAGCTAAAATTGCTGGACCCCTTTCAATTATAATTAACAGCTTCTTGCACTCTTCTATGCATTTGTGCAGAACTGTTTCTCTTGATCAGAGGTCTTCAAACGTGGCCCTTTTATGGCTTGTGGACTTCAACTCTCAGAATTCCTCAGCCAGCTTCCCAGAATTCTGGGAGTTGAAGTCCACAAGCCATAAAAGGGCCACGTTTGAAGACCCCTGCTCTTGATGGTCATCATTGTAAAGAACATCTCAATGTCACGGTACTAAATTGTTTAGGACTTCAGCCTTGCAGGTCATATCAAGTGAATGTACTACACTCGAGGGACTGTCTCTTAAGGAAAACGCATAGTACATTCACATAATAATGACTGATCAAACAAATTAATCAAGTTCCTGACTTGCACAATATACTGCACCACAAATCAACCTGATTGGATTCACCATCTTAAACCACACACACACACACACACACACACAAAATCTAATCAAGAATGACATCAACCAAGATCAAGTGTACTGTACAAATGTAGTTGTCTAGTCTTTACTTGACATGGTTCACACCATCCCATCTGCAAAAGTGCAAAGAGCATTTACTCCTGGCCCAGCCACCTTATTGGGCATTTATCCGTGATTGTGCACCAACACATTCACCCAACAACCTCATTTCCCTGGTGTGTAAAATCCAGCCTTTCCCAACCAGTTTAGAGGGCAGCAACTGAGAGGATCAAGCTATACAAGGAATGGTTAACGGAGCTATAAATGATTGGACTGCAGAATAGATTAAAGGGAGATGCATCAACAGCCCACATATGTAAACATTTCCCCATTCTCTGTTGGAATTGATAGGACAAGTACCAATGAAACTAAATAAGGTAGGAAATTCAGGTTCAAAATTTAAGAAATTGCTTGACAATAAGCCCTGTTAAGCAGAGAAACCGTTCAGAACATTGGCGTACTCTCCTGGCTGGATGTTTTCAAGCAAGAGTTGGTAACTGCTTGTCCAGAACAAATTCCTCTAGTGAGGACAGAAAAGCTGGTCACCAGGAGTGGAAAAGATGATGACCTTCCACTCTCACTCACTCTATAAGGTTGGGAAAGACTGCCCATCAGCTGTGCAAGGTAGATACTGTGACACAGATTATATTACCTGTATGCAAAAAAGCCAGGAAAAATCCCTCACCTCTTCCTTATTCAATGCTAGAGATAGGGGGAGAAAGAGAAACATTCTAAGGGGGAAAGATCAACTCTATATTTAGAACCATTTTCCCTGAGAACATTGGAAAAAAATAGATCTTCTTCTTCTCGTGCCATATCCGTTATCGGACGTTGGCGATCCTGTTTTTAAAAAAAATAGATGACACATCTCAATATTTTCTCCTAAATGTTCTCTGATATGTATAAAGTGTTCACATGCTGCAGCTTTTACACAAAGTTATGGAACTTTGTGTATAAAGTTATGGAACAGGTGAAAACATATTATGTAAGAAAATTTACTGTCATTATAAACTTCCCAAGGATTAGCTGTACAGTGTTAATTCTTAAAGGTAAAACATTTCTTTCTCCAGAGTGATATTTTTTTTTTCTATTCAGTGCAGCAGAAAAAACATATTTACCATTTACCCTGTCACCACACATATTTACCATTTACCCTGTCCTCTGTTCTTCTACATATGAAATAAAACAGCTTATTCCTTTTTTTTTTTCATCCAAGTTTCCATCTGAAAAGGAAGAGTGAGAACACAACACACAGAAAGACACAGATATACAGAGGCCAGCAAACAAAAACCCATCTGACTTAGAATCAACATTTATTTAAAGGGGTAAGGAAATTTAACTTTACAAGAGTTGCTTTTCGTAGCAAGAAAGGTAGATAAATAAAAGATTATGAAAATCTGTTGTTGTTTTTTCCATTTTTGCAAATTACACCGCGGGAAATTAAAAAATTTACAATCGTAAACCTAACTTAATTTTCTTTACATAATTACAAATGAATATATAACAATTTCTTTTTCTTTTCGACTCTCCATTGATGTACATTTCAATTTTTAAAGGTTTATCTTTTCCTTGTTCAAGATATATTTCAATCGGAAACATGCAACTGGTACCTTCGCACAAGCCTATGGGAAGAAGTGGGAGGAACTCAAGTGAGAGAAATGCATTGTCATATAATTGTGATGCTAGTGCACACAATCCTTGCCAAAAAAGAACTCATCACAGTAATCAACCATAATCTAGCCAAACAGGAAATGAACAAGATATAAAGAACTCATAATACCCACAGATTTCCTTGAAATACATAGATCAACTTCTATCTGGTCTCTCTTGTGACAAAAGAAAGGATGGCAGCAGAGATTTTGGCTAAGAGCTTTTCGTATCAACTGGTCTCTCTTTTGCTTTTTCACCGTCCCGTGTGTCTCTGCACTCGCACGGTGAGTTGCAGACAGGAATAATACAAGATTTAAACTAAATTAAATTCTCTTTAAAAGTTAAGATTTGATTCCATTGTAGAAAGAAGTACACTTGTCAACTCAAAAGCATTTGGTGCGGCAGAGACGTGCCTTGGCGGTTACGATGGAGACAACCATTTTGGAGAAGGAGGAAGGCGGTTTTTGAAAACCTGCCATTCCTCTTTAGAGCACCAGTGAAAGTGGAATAAGCATCCACATCGTGTGAACTGACTCCAGTTTCAACCCATCTTCAGTTTTCTGCAAAGAGCCTTCCACCAGTCTTAGCATCTTAAGTTTGCTTTGGCCAAGAAATGCTGTATATTAGAGGTTCTTTCCCACCAGTGGTTGATAGCATTTAATGCTGGTTTCATTCAAATAGCACATTAGTAATCAATGAGATATTTACACAAGAAATACACAGAGACACACAAACACACATACAAACAAACATTCCTTAGGCTTCATAAGCCCAGCTTAAAAATAAAGCAAAACAGACAATCCAAGTAAACATTTGTCATTTTAAAAATCCAGACTTCTTTCAAACAAACAGAAAGATTTTTTTTTTCAACACAAGCCCAGCTTGCAACTGAAAACAAATATCACGTAACAATCGTGGTAATAAAAAAACAAAAAAAAAAAACAAGAAATAAAATTCTCTAGCTGCCTCTAGCTTTCTTTCTGGACAGCGTGAATTTGTTTTAGAGAACATCAGATTCAGCCAGGTCCCCAGAGATCATCTATACCTGTAAAGGCACACTCATTAAAGTTTTGGTGTTTTTTTTTTTGAAGTCCTGATTCTGCAAATTGAGTGGTGTGTGAAAATGGCTTCTGAGATGTTTTAAAGAGAGAACACAAGGGTGGAACAATAGTGCAAAACCTTCTTTGAAGGAGTGGGATAGCCAAAAATGGTTTTCTTGTTTATTCAAGCTTTAAAGGTAAACAGATTCCTTGCTATTTGCTCAGCCTACTAGAATAATCTCTGGGGCAAGACGCTGTGAAAGTGGCTTGTGAAGATTTACAACACAAGGATGTTATTCCATACTCATCCCAAATCGCCAAGCTGAGCTGCTTATTGGTTCTTCCAATCTCTCCTTTCTCACCACACCAATTTCTTGCAGTCTGTCACTAATGCGAGGGGAGAAGGGAGAGAGATTAAATTTAAATCCTGGGGCTGGATAGAACTCCCTACAAACTATGATGGGTCAGATGATCCTAGAGAGTTAGACTTGGAGGAAAGAAAGGAAGGCCTGACAACTATTTCCTCAACTGCAATTACTCTTGGCATGAACGAACATGGGGAAACGGTCCATTTTCTCACATGCTCCCTGCTTGGACCAAAGCATCCACGTGCTTTTCTAAACAAAACCGAGTGGAAAGGAGGCCTACAAGAGAGACATTCCCCTCTCTTGTAGACCTAGCAGATGAGAAGACCAATAATATCCGTTTGCAGGTAGGGAAACAGAAGCACTTTCCTACATTCCGTGCCAAGGAGACCAAATTCAGATGACTTATTTTCTGAAGCTGACTGATGACTATCCGCAGATGCAAAAAAACCAAACAAACATACATTTATGTGTGTTGACCGCTGATAAAGGTCTGGCTGCCCTTGGATAAGTCAAGAGGATGCCATTTCCCTACCCATGGATTAAGGCAAGTATTAAAGGAGCAATTGGAAGGAAGGTGTGCAGCAAATAGTTTTGGGGGGGTGTCTGTACATTTGCATACATTTTTCAACTCCTGGCCCCTCCACCTCAAAAATGGTGATTTGTCCTCCCCCCCCAAAAAAGGTGATAGCATTGAGATGAGAACTCTACAAATTCTTAAAGCAACAAACCTATCCAATTTGGAAAGTTACATTCAGGGGTATGGTGGCCTCTTTAATCCACGTGAAAGAAATTATACCAAACCAATATAACAGTACTTCTCTATCGCAACTCTTTCACCCTAATGACAGTCACCCACTTCCTCAACATAGTTTCTAGCAAGACGAGACAATGAAATTGGGAGAAAATGTGTACAGGAATTTGGGAGGAGAAGCCAAGGAAGCAGGAACAGAGAATTTGGTTGGAGTCTGTATCTTCTTCAGATTCTTCAACTGCATAGCCAACTCAATAGGTGTTTGCGTCCTAGATAGACAAATCCTATACAGGGAGTTAGGATGGACCTCACAATTCCATGGAAATTCAGAGTGGTGGCGGTTTTAAGTATTCCCTTTGTCGCTGTTCTGAGATGACTTCTAGAGAGGATCTTCTAATTTCCAACCATGGCCCCTTTCACCTCTCCAATCTAGGGCCATGCGTTGGTTCTAATCCATTTTATATTTCTTTTTTTTTCTTTTTCTGCCGCTGGGCAATGTGCTTCGATTATTCCCCAGGAATCTTGCTTTAGGGGCCCTTCCACTTCAAAAATCTTGATGCAGAATGCCAACTTTGCAGCCGAAGGCAAAACTGACCCAATCCCTGAACAGGTGCCTGCCAACCCCGTTAGGATACGTCTAAAGTTCCTTAGCTTTTCTCTACAGACATACAGCATATCCAAAGGATATGGAGCTACATTTATTTTTTGTGTGTGTGTTTGTTTGTGTGTGTGTATATATCTATATGTTCAGTTAAGTAGGTAGAGAAGTGTGTATACATTACATCTATATAGACCAGTGTAGAAACACTGCGTAAAAGAGTCACATCTTTTTTCTACAGAAGGTTTTTGATTTGGGGGGTGGGTGGTTTCCGAAGAGAAGGTGAGCTTTGTTGTCTTTCTTCACAAATTCCCTGTTGTTCAAGATGAAAAGGAAAAAAGAGAATATCCGCCTAAGCAAGTCACAAGTTAGCATTGCAGAGAGAATCAGAATTCTTCAGAGCACATTCAGCTCAAACTGAGCCCGCCCAGTCTGGCTGTATCCACAGTTCTTCCATGTGGTCACTCCTCCTCCTCCTCCTCCTATTGTCCTTTCGGACATGTTTTCAGATGTGACGTATTCAAGAAGACCCAGAAGTGGGAATGGACAGTGGATTATAGGAGTGAAAGGTGGGGAAAGCCCAACGCAGTTCAATGTCTAGAATAAAGAGTTGTTCGATTCTTCGGCCTCTCTCCGTAGGGCAGATCTGGAGATGGCCTGGCTGGAGACAAGGCATGGGATCAGCAAAAGATCTCCTCGCCTTCTGGTGCTCCTTCTGGAGAGTGAGCATCTAGGGGGGGAGAAAAAAGGAAGAACTCAAAATAATGTCGACACACATCAGAGACTGCTATACAGGTAGTCCTCAGTTTACAACAGTTCATTTAGTGACCGTTCACAGTTACAACGGCACTGGGAAAAGTGGCTTAGGACCATTTTTCACACTTACGACCATTGCAGCGTCTCCATGGTCACGCGATTTACATTCAAATGCTTGGCAACTGGCTAGTATTATGCCAGTTGCAGTGTCCCGGGGTGATGTGATCACCTTTTGAGACATCCCTACTGTTGTTGCCTACGGACTCTACTGATCCGCAGACAAGACTCGGATCTGGACCACTAGCAAGCAATCTGGTGGGAGATGTTTTCATCCTTAGTTGTGCGGAATCTTTAAAAGCACCGAGTCCGCCCTCGGCTTACCAGAAGTCTGTGAGCGATCCCTTTTGCTCTTCTTCTTCTTCTCCTTCTTCTCCTTCGGCTTGGCTAAACCGAAGAGGCGGTTGGGCATCTGCCCAGGTCCTTCCGTTGGCTTGTTGGCGTGGCCCGATGTTGCAGTGCCAATCAAATGAAAAGAGCTCTTCTCTTTATTCGTCCTTGAGAGACTGTTCCTTTTGGATGAGGCGGAAAGTTCTGCATCCAAGTGCCCTTTGGGCAGCGAGGAACACAATTGTCTAGAAGACAAGTCCTCTGTGGGAAGAAGGGAAGGGGTTCTGCTCATTTTGGTGTGTTGACTGGGATTCTGGAAGACACAAGACAAAAGAAGAAATAGGTATGGCAATGGATTGTTCATGTTTGCATTTATGACGTGTTTACATTCTCCAACACCCTCAGTTCCCTGGCACTACAAAGCAGGTTAAAAATGCAACGTAAAATAAATCAAAATAAAACAATAAAAAGCGGTAATAAGTAATAGTGGCCGTAGGTTAAACACCACAAGAAAACCAATACCAACACTGAATAATATCAGAAAGTCTTCATTCAGTTGGTCAGGATACTATCCGTGAAAAGATACGTTCTTCTGTAGATGTCCACTTTAATAGTCCTGGCACTATGGCTACTATGTACATAAGGACAAAATCAGAGAACATCTCAACATATTTAGATTAAAAAAAACGTGTCTTCCAGAACGGAATAGAAGTGACTTAAGAATTCATATCTGGGACTGTGTAATACACAAGAAAATCAGTAACGCAGCACATGCTTTTGTGGGGGGGAAAAAAACATTGCTGATCTTCCAAAGAAGACACCTCAACAGGTTCCACCGAAGGGTCCACAAACATCATTTGAAAAGAAGGGATCTAGAACCTCTGCATCTTCAGATCTTCCACCAGCTTCCTTCGTTTGATGCCAGACAATGCACAGGTACAAAAGAAGCAAATTATTACCGGTTTGAGATCAGGTTCCATCTGTGGTTGAGATATTTGCTCCATTTCCTTCTTCAGTTGCTCCTTTTCTTTCTCCAGTTGCTTCTGGGCCGTCCGGAGACGTTCCAGATCAAGTTGATAGGCTGCTTTCTTCTGCTGCAGCTCCTCCCGCTCCTTCTCCAGGCCGTGATGCCCTTTCTGGATCTGCTCTTCCCTCTGGCCTAGCTGAGATTCCCGCTCCGTTAGCTCTTTCTCTCTGGCCTCCCACGCCTTCTCTTTCTTCCTCCGTTCCTCCTGGTGCAAGGTCTGCTGCTTCTGCAGATTGGCCAGCTCTTGCCGCTGTTTTTCCAGGCTGCGTTGCTTTTCCTGCTCAATCAAGGAGTTGGGACGGAATGAGATGCGGTTCAAGGTCCTCTCGGTGAGCAGCAGCTTCTGGTCTTCAATGTAGGTGTCTTGTTGTACAACAACAGCCTGTTTAAAAAAAAAAAGGGAGATGAGGCTTTCTATTAGACAGAGTAATTTTCTTCAAAGAGGCAAAACTAGGGCTAAAATTCCTGCGAAAAATCCGTGAGAGTCAATCACCGTAAGAGAGAGATTGGCTTTGGAGAATATCTGCAGAATGCCCAATTAAATAGAAAAATTAAAGATCTTGCCAAACTGGATGTACCGCGTTTCCCACAAAGTAAGACCAGGTCTTATTTTTTTATTTTATTTTTTTGCCTCCAAAAGAGGCACCAGGTCTTATTTTCGGGATAGGCCTTACCTCACCTCCGGCACCGACAGCCCCACCCAGCCGGTCCACTTCTTCTGGGGCCGAAGTTCTGCAGCTGCATTCGGGCCTGCAGTTTGCAGTCAGGCTTTTCCAGAAGGCCTAAGCAGCCGAGTACCGAGCTATGGATTGAATCCATAGCTTGGTGCTCGGCTGTGGAGATCTTGCAGAACCGAGCTATGGATTGAATCCATAGCTCAGTTCTCGGCTGCAGTGGCCTTTCCAGAAATGCAGGCCTGGCTGCAGAAGAGGCCTCAGAAGAAGAAGTGGGCCAGCACGGAGAGGCCTGGCTGCAACGGAAGTGGGTGTGGGGTGCATGGGGCAGCTCCACACCCCTACCCCTGCCCTAGCTTGATTTTTAAGTGTGTGACTCACCCCAAAACTAGGGCTTATTTTGGGGGTAGGGCTTCTATTAGGCCCACCCCCAAAAATCAAGCTAGGGCTTATTTTGGGGGGAACACGGTACTGAAAATCATTCCAAACCATACAAGTCAATGGGTCTGTTTCAGATTATAACAGTTTCCTCCATCTGGGACCTACATCTTTGACTGCTGGCACTTGGTGGCACAGGGATTAGAATGCAGCATTGTAGGCTAACTCTGCCCATAGCCTGGAGTTCGATCCTGATTGGCTCAAGGTTGACTCAGCCTTCCATCCTTCTGAGGTTGATAAAATGAGGACCCAGATTGTTGGGGACAATAGGCTGATATTGTAAACCACCCAGAGAGTGCTATAAAGCACTATGGAGCGGTATATAAGTCTAAGTGTTATTGCTTTCTTTGACTGCTAGTCTTGTGTGAGGCTGTACGAAAGACAAGTTCTCAGCACCAAAGCTATCTTCCTTCCTCTCTCCCTCTACAGGAGCTCCTATATTTCATTAACCCTGCCTGGAAGAAGGGCTCTTCCCATGACTTTGACCTGGCTCTTCATACGCATGGGAGTCTTGTAAAAGAAAGTCTGCAGAATCCTTGAGGTTTGTAAGTCTTCTAAAGACTTTTTGTTGACATGCATTAAACCTGTATTAAAAGGGGCTGGTATATATATGTACATGTATATGTACATGTACATATATACAGGCATCCAGAAACCTGAATAATAAATAAGCATCTTGTTCTTTCCTATTCCTTTCAACTGAAGGTTAAGGACCACCCTTAGTCTTTGAGTGGCATGGGAAGGACCTCATTCCAAAAACAGCACGTGCCTCCTTGAAGTTCAATTAATTAATTAGAGTTAATTTATCTCCTTGTCTTTCATGAGTTTCCTGTCTGACTCATCCAAGATTACAATTCAGCAAAGTCTTCTCAGAACTTAAGAGTTCTGGAGAACACATCCAGCCCCGAGGCTTCCATTTCCTGCTTTAGATGTTGCCTCTCTTGCTGTTGAGTCTCTTATTCAGCTGAAATATTAGACTGGGTCAGCTTTATCACATCAGCAGAGACGTTATCCCTGCCTCTTTCTCAGCACTTACCTGCAGTAAGCCCAGCAAGCTGTGAAGCTGAGTTATGCTCTGGAGCACCTGCTGTAGAAGAAAAAGAGAAGCAGAGAGAAAGACCCTGTCAACAGCCAAATAGTTTATTTGCTCCACTGGACTCCTGCCTTTTTAGGAATCCAAAAATAAGAACTTAGCCAACAGCAGGCAGCTGGGAGGATGGACTGTGCTGATGGAGCATTAGTCCCGAAGTATTTTCGGTGCTCATTCCCACATGATTACTTGGGAGTAGCCAGCAACCAGCAAATATTCCCAGACAGCAAAATTCTGTGTACTTCACACACAGGAAAATAAATACCCTGAAAATGACGCATGGGGGAAAATGCAACTCTGCTATTTGTCTTGTTGTTGCAAATCTACACCTCTTATTTTGCACAGCTTGGCTTTTCAAGGCACAACATTGATTTTAGGTTGACATATGGCATTTGGAGAAGCACAAAATTGCATAAAAGCATAGTACCATATTCCAAAGTAAGTTTGTTTTATTTAATCTAAATGTATAATTCTTGTATGGCTACAGACTTTCTATCGGTTCTGAATTCATTAATACAATGAGTTGGGGCTGTTTTATAGTGCATGCTGCATTATTTTGAATGTGTAAGTTAATACAATTAGATGTCATGGATCATTTAATTTAGGGGGTTCTTATTTTATGTTATTATAATTGCACCTATCCAAATATATATATATTTGTACCTTTCCATACATATGTATATCCTGTTTCATATTACTGAGTTTTATTATGTACTGATCTTTGACTGCAATAAAGATTTCCATTCACTGTATCATTTTATGAATTCTTTTTTTAATTCTATGTCTGTACTGCACTTAGTTATGAACGCATAATAAATAAAATTATTAATTCCATTATTTAAACAAAGTGATTTTTTCATCAGCCCCTGGGAAATATTACTTTCTACTAGCTTTGCATTAAACTTTCAGGGACAATTTCTTCAGAAATTCAAGGACTGGGGATGAGGGGTGGGGGTATTTATTATAAATCTTCAGACATTGCATATCCAATTCAATATTTTATGGGTTTTCTCTTCTCCCACCCAATCATAGCAACCTACACATTCTCTAATGGTTCCTAACTGGTGGTCTCTAGATGGGAATACAACATCCATTACAATGGATATTGTAGTCCAACCAATGGGAGGATACCAAGGTGGACCATGCTGGTTTAGTCCAAAGCTTGTCAAGAAGTAGAAGATGCATTAACCAAAGACCTTCTAATAATGAACAGAACAAGTAAACTACCAGGTCCCAGATTGAAAGATTTTTTAAAAAAAATTAAAGACGATCCCAAAGGCATTTTTTTAAGAGGCAACTGAACTTCCTTGGTTTTTCTTTGAAGATGTTCAGTTCTTCAGTTCTGAAGAAGCTTCTTGGATGAGAAGCAAAACATCTTCAAGGAAAAACAAGGGAAGTCCAGTTGCCGCTTGAAAAAGCAACATTGGGACAACCGTGACCTGGATGACGGAGAATCTCCGTAGACATAAAGGAGGAGATATCTCATTAGGCCTAAGAAGGGGCTGATCCCAAGTTCCAGATGTTGTGTAAACAGAAAGAAAAGGCCATCCTTGAACACAAACACTTACCTCATTGTTTCTTTTCAGCAAAAACATCAAGTTAGCTGTTCCTCCCTGAGAAGAGACCATAGATATACCCTCATTGAGAAAGAAACTAAGGACAGAGGTCTAAACAACAATTTATTTTTTGAAAGCTTGGGTTTCACCCCCCCAGGATCCCTGATCATTTTCTGAGGATACTGCGTCAACTTAACACTCATGGCCGCAGACCAACATTTTGTACGAAGCACCAAACAACAAAACATTTAGCAAAAGCATAAAAGAAACACGTTGCTCATTGCCTTCTCACATGAAAATAATCTAAGTTTTCTGGCAGCAATCATGACGGAAGTGTACGTGGCTGCCTTCCGTGAGGTTTTTAAGGACTGATCAGCCAACAGGAAAAATGAACTGAACAGAACAGCTGGAGGGATTTACAGGGAAGGATGTTGGACACTTGGCTGTTCCATACCTTCTTCAACACACTGTCAGACTCGGTCCTCCGTAGATCTTGCACGTCTTCTCCTTCATCCTTCTCCCCACCTAAAAAAAGAAAAAAAAAACACGTCTGTTGTACAAGCAAGAAACTGAAGATGGAGGACCCACATCACACCAAGCCATAAACCGTATTTATTGATTTCTTGTATGGCACACTGGTATCACGTTTCTCTAAGAACACAAAATAACAACATAATAAAATCTGAAATATCGTAAGCATATGTCTAGATTGCAGATATAATGTTTTGCTTCGTTTGTCACCGTCAGGAAATCAATAAAGTTTCCATTATAGACTCTCTCTGACATTCTGTGTTGGGTAATGGGCTCCAGAGTCATAATGGTGTTTAGAGGGCACTTCCAGATTTATCATAGCCAGTGCGAATTCGGCTCAGCGTTGTCCATATTGCGTGGGGCTTGCCAAATCCAGGTGATGTTTCCAAAATACAAGGCAAACTTCCACATTACAGGGGGCAATTTTCTATTCAATGTTTTTTCCACGTATTGTACATAAGGAGCTGTGGTGGCGGAGTGGTTAGAACCCAGTGCTGCAGGCTGATTCTGCTCACTGCCAGCAGTTCGATCCTGACCGGCTCAAGGTTGACTCAGCCTTCCATCCTTCCGAGGTCAGTAAAATGAGGACCCAGATTGTTGGGGCAAGATGCTGACTCTGTAAGCCGCTTAGAGAGGGCTGTGAAGCACTGTGAAGCGGTATATAAGTCTAAATGCTATGGCTATATAGGAGGACAACGATTATTTGCGTCCATGGCATTCCTTAAGCCACAGGTGTCCCCTGGGTGGTCCCAGAGAACAGCCACTTCAAGGCAAAATACACGAAGCCTCCAAAGATACGGCAGGCAAGTTAATCCGAGTGATCTCCTGGCTACCTCATACCGCACCAGGCAATAAACCATAATTTGTACATAAGGGCTGGGCGCGGACACCATGCCAAGCCAAAACAAACACAACCTATGATTGTTCGAAGCGTGGACCGTGGGAGTGACTGTAACTATGGCAGAAGTATGTTTCCCTTGTCCAGGAATCCGACTGCAAACAGAAAAGGGCAAAACTCAGAGCTTGGGGTGGAGATAGAAAAGACTCACCTTTATAGACGTTCATTTGGTGGCTGTCAAACCCTCCAAAGGTCTCTGCCCTCCTGGGGAGGGAGATGGGCCCCACACTCTCCTGGTCAGAGGCCGGACTGGTCATCTGCTGCCCGAAGGAACTTCCCAGGCCTCTGCTCACCAAACCTTGCAGCTGCTCAACTGAAAGAAGAAACAGCAGCATGACAAGACCGGCCGTGTTCATCTCCTGCAACCTGCTTCTTTACTTCAAAATAAAAAGTCCTCAACTTACGATCCCAACTGAGCCCAGAATTTCACGTTGCTAAGCGGGACATTTGCCAAGCGGGCTTTACCCCCCATTTTACGGCTTTTCTCGCCACGGTTGTTAACGGAACCACTGCAGTCGTTTAATGTATGTATTTATTTAAATATTTTCTAACTCTTCATACTGCCACAGCAACCCTTTTCTCAGCCTGCTGCAGTTTAGTTCCTTGGAATCCAACGATTTACTTTGTCCAGGATATTTCAGAGTTTAGACTCTTTCAGGAAAGCAAGTGACAAATGTTGGGTCAGGGACCGGCTTACCTTCGCTGATCAGATTCTTCATGATACTTTCTCCTTTCGGTGCTTCGTCGGTGTTCGCCCGGAACAGCATCCTGGCCCCCTGTCCTTCCTCGGCCCCACTGCAGTCTGTCATATCTCTGAAAATCTTCTCTTTTTCCTCCAAGAGCGTGATAATCTGCTGGTCTTTTTGGTGGAGCTGTTCTGTGAGATGGAACAGGAAAGATCAGCTAGAGGGCTGGTATTTACCGGAGAATGGAGAGTGACTTAAAGCTGGTGGGGTTTGCCATTGCTAAGGCTGGAGCGCCATCTTGTGCCCAGACAGAGAATTGCTGGAGTTAGGAGACTAAAAATTCAAATTTATAGCATCCTTTCGGGTTTTTACCTTTCAGTTCTCTGGCCTTGGTGTCCAGCACCCGCTTCTCCTCTTCTGATTCGCTAGGGATACCTTCATCTTCCTCTTTGTCCCTGTAGAAGAGGAGTCAGGCAGATTGAAAAAAATTATGCTGGAGAAGTGTTTATCCTCCTGTCATTTATACTCCTCCCTCTCTCTCTCTCTCTCTCTCTCTCTCTCTCTCTCTCTCTCTCTCTCTCCCTCTCTCTCTCTCCTCTCTCTGTCTCCCTCCCTCTCTCTCTCCCTCCCTCCCTCTCTCTCTCTCTTTCTCTCCCTCTCTCCCTCTCTCTCTCTCTCCCTCTCCCGCAGCACAGTTTCATCTCCCATTACTGAGCTCCTTACATAGTGTTGATCGTGTCCTGGATAATTTGAATCCAGCTGTTGCGCTCCTCCTTAGTGCTGGCATGCACTTCCACCATCTCAGGGTCTTTTCCTCCCATGCTGATCAGGAAGAGGCCCTTCTCCTCGTGGGCAACTTCACGGACAATCAGCTTCTTCAACGAGATCACAGTGGATTTTTGATCCTTTGGGGGAGTTGAGGAAGAGAAGCATATGCGTTAGGTTGATTTGGTGCAACGGGAATCTCTATGCATACAACCACACCTACAAACACGATCAGTCCTGTGCCGCAGTGATTCTGGAGCAATGGTAAAGAGACCACCTAAAGTGGACTTCTAATTTAACTTGTCTTATCAATGACATCAACAAATTATGTCAAACAATTAACCAGTGGAACAACCTGCCTCCAGAAGTTGGAAATGCTCCACATTTGGAAGTTTTTAAGAAGAGATTGGACAACCATTTGTCTGAAATGGTGTAGGGTTTCCTGCCTGAGCAGGAGGTTGGACTAGAAGACCTCCAGGGTCCCTTCCAACTCTCTTATTCTAATTCTATTCTATTCTATTCTATTCTATTCTATTCTATTCTATTCTATTCTTTATTCTGTGCTATTCTCTATTCTATTCTATTCTTTATTCTGTGCTATTCTCTATTCTATTCTATTCTATTCTATTCTATTCTATTCTTTCTTAATCTAGACATATGTTTATAATACTTTAGATTTGTATTTTTATTTCTACTGTTTACTGATGTTATCTTATTCTACCGCACTGATCACAACTCAGATTAAATTGTGAAATCACAATGACAAACTTATAAAGAAGTGTTGATGGTGATACCCCAAGATCTGGGGAGGGTCAAATTACACATCTGGAGTACTGTACTTGGTTCTCAGCGCTATCACCCAAATGACTATCGTGAAATGCAGTCCAGAAATGGAAGCGATTTAAATCTTAGGAAGAATGGATTGAAAAGGCGAGGATGTTAAACCTGAAGAAGATTTTTCTTTTAGAAGAAGAATTGCCTGCAGTCTGCTCTGGAGAAGACATTACACTTAATTCTCCCGACCAAATGCAGAAAATGGATTTATTCAGGAACCCTATATTGTGCAAATGCAGCCAACGTGGTGGTGGTGTTGTTTTAAGGAAAAGGAATTGTGTAGAATTCCTTACCAGGGATGCAAATACATATTTCTGATCTTTTTCCTGGAGGAATATCAGGACATCCGAGAGAAGGACAGCCAGGACCTCTGAGAAGGAAAGGAACATCAAGACAATCAGGTTGAAAAAACCAGCCAACCCAAAGCTGACATGTCTGCGTTTACTAGCATCACTCACAAGATCTCTTCTTTCGTTTCCTGAAACAAGGTCAAATCAAAGTTTAAGATTCTGCAAATTGTACCCAGCAGTAGGTAGAATTTCACAGAAGTCATCAGTTTCGTGTCTACCAACTTTCCCAATCAGGTTTTGATACCATTCTTCTTTCATGTTTAAGCCAGAGAGATTTTGCAAAAGTTTTCCCCAGGCCTCCAGGCAAAGTGCAGTTAAATGACTTTGCCTCTGTGTGCAAAGTGCATCACTGCACATTTTTCTTTCCACCCCCACAACCAAGATTTTATGGGAGATAGAAGGTTTCTCAAAAACTATGTCACAAGCGTCATATCTGGCCAGAAGAATTTGCAGCCACTTTCTACAACCTGGAGAGCAATCCAGCTTAGATGCTGGAGGAGATGTGGAAAGAACTTTACAGCACTGACAGAAGAGAATATCCGTAGCTCCAGGTTGAAATGAGGGGCCTTGGTGCTCTCTGAGCTAGGTGGTTTTCTTGCAGACATTTCATTACCAAACTAGGAAATATGATCAATGCTAGAAGGGAGTGAGGTTTGCAGGGAAGAGGAGGGAGGGAGGGAGGGAGGGAAGGAAGGAAGGAAGGAAGGAAGGAAGGAAGGGAAGGGAAGGGAAGGGAAGGGAAGGGAAGGAAATTGTGGGGTCCTTAGTGTTCTCTGCATTTGGTTGTTTTCTTGCAGACATTTCATTACCAAACTAGGTAATATAATCAATGGTAGAAGGGAGTGAGGTTTGCAGAGAGGAGGAGGAGGAGGAGGAGGAGGAGGAGGAGGAGGAGGAGGAGGAGGAGGACGACTACGTGGTCCTTGGTGCTCTCTGAGCTAGGTTGTTTTCTTGCAGACATTTCATTACCAAACTAGGTAATATGATCAATGTTAGAAAGGAGTGAGGATTTCAGATGGAAGGAAGGAAGGAAGGAAGGAAGGAAGGAAGGAAGGAAGGAAGGAAGGAAAGGAAGGAAGGAAGGAAGGAAGGAAGGAAGGAAGGAAGGAAGGAAGGAAGGAAGGAAGGAAAAGATTGTGGGTCCTTGGTGCTCTCTGGGCTTGGTTGTTTGCTTGCAGACATTTCATTACCAAACTAGGTAGCATCATCAGTGCAAGGACTTTAGGGTGCCTATTGTGTCCTTTCCAATGAATCAGGGCAAAGAAGCAGCGTCGAGCCCCCGGGGGATCGCTCTGAAAGCATCCCTTACCTTTCAATCTCCCAGCTACGTTTTTGAGAGAAACCGGTCCATCTCGGACAAACTTCCTGCGCCTCAGATCTTCTCGGGCAAACATCTGCCCGCTCTTCATCCTCATGATCGACTTGCTGTCCGTCCGGGTGTAGACCTCGTTAAGGCGCATCTTCTTCTCGTAATTGCTGACTTTGCTGTCGACGGCCGTTATGACTTCCTTCACCAGGTTCAAGGAAAGCACCAAGTCTTGATGTTCAGGGTCATTTTCTTAAAACGGAAGAACATTTTCATTTGTTACCTTCTTCCCTTCCAAATACTTCACTTCTCCAAGCTTAGCCCTGTTTTTGGCATCCTGTTCTTTTCTGACCAGCAACTTATCCACATCAGCTGCTAACCCTCTAGAAATCCTCCCAAGAATTTACTTAGAGCAGGAATCCAGTTAATGAAACTGACTAGCACCCACATTCACTAAGCTACTTGAGGAACAAACAGCAGCAAAATTGTGCACTCTGATTTTCAAATAGGTCCACGGGCGACCACTGTTTACGTCGTGTGAATCGCGTGTTCAATTAGCTTAATGCCGTTTTAAAAGTCAACGCTTTGATTTGGACAGAAGACCACATTCTGCGCCTGTAGCATAATCCTCATTCACACCAATTTCTTTGGCCACCAAATTATTGATGTGCACATACTGACAAAATCACAGAGTTGGAAGGGACCTTGGAGGTCTTCTAGTCCAACCCCCTGCTCAAACAGGAGAGGCTATATCATTCCGGAACAAGTGGCTACCCAGACTCTTCTTTAAAAGCCTCCAGCCTCGGCTTCTGAAGGCTTATTAATGTATAAATAATTATATAAATGTTATATAAAAATTATTTATTGTATAAATAAGCTACTTGATTACTAAAAGTTATCTTCTCTGATTTGCAACACTGAAAGTTAGCTGCCAGTGGTTCTATCTAAGCAAACAGCTGTCACAGGAGGAATTACAAAGGAATCCTGTAAAATCCCAGTGGGTTTACTTTGCATGTGACCCTCAGCTCTGTGGCTACAGTAGGCTGCGCCTCTCTTTCTCTTGCACTTTGCACATGTGGGTGTGTAAGAAAGAGGATGGGGCTTTGTTTGTGCGGACCAGTTGCTGGCATGCCGCGGTCCGGTACCGGTCCACGGACCGGGGGTTGGGGACCTCTGCAATAAATGATTACGAAGACATCTGCAGGAAAAACCTACCTTTGGTATATTGTAATATTCTCTGAAGAAGCACGGGGTATTTGGTGATCCTTTGCGTTACCAGCAAGATGCACTCAGGGATGCCCAATCGTCTCACCACGGAGCTGCTCATCTTTTTCTAAAGGAAGGAGAGCAAATTGAAACATCTGAGAGGATGGGGGCATCTTAGGTTATTAGCTGACTACAGCCTTCAAAATACAATTCCAATGTATCAAGAATAGGTTTATGGAACTTTGCAGGACGAAAGATCTGTAAAGAATGCTTAATGGACTTCCGGTTTGAGTTCCTGTGCCGATGGCGGCGTTTTCGTTCGCCGCCTGCTCCGAGGACGCGTAAAAGCCGCAGGAGCAGCGTCAAACAGCTGCTCCGCGGCTTGAATCCCCTTCCCGGGCAAAGGGGAGGGGAGAGAGCTTCCCCGATAGGGGTAGAACTCCTGAGCTCCCACAGTTTTATAGCTGTGGGGGT